CAGAGCCTGTTTATTGCATAACTAGGAAGCATGCATTCCAAACGATTTTACAACACAGGATACAATAGGTACAGGAATAGGATACCTTGGATTCTTGACTGCATTCTCCCCCTCTTTTCTTCTTAATTTGCCTGCCTCTTTTCCCTTTACCTCACCTCACCCCTTTTGAGTACCTTCTTCCTCATGTTAAGTGAGGTAAGACCAAGTAAAAACAAAGGTACATGTTTTCTCTTACATGTGGAAGCTAGATTTAGTTGATAAATGTATCAGTAAATACCTTGTGTTTTATGCAACTTTGTACGAATTTACCTACTGAAGTATGGTATGTGCAAGGGAGAACCTAAATACTCTAATTGCTTAGAAAGACAATCTCGTAATTTTTAATGGATTAGTGAAATTCATATATATATATATATTCGTATATATGTATATATATATGTATACAAAGGAAAAGATAGACACAGACAGACAGACAGACAGACAGACAGACAGACAGACAGACAGACAGACAGACAGACAGATAGATAGATAGATAGATAGATAGATAGATAGATAGATAGATAGACAGATAGATAGATAGATAGATAGATAGAACCATTTGTTCACTGGAGATCACTTTTCTTGATTCTATACCTTGGCTATTATGAATATGACAGTAATGAACATGCTGGTGCTAGTGACTGTAGAGTATCCTGATTTCTAAATGTACCATTGTGGAATTTCTGGGTCATAGGTACTTCTATATTTATTTTTTTGAGGAATCTCAAAAATTGGTTGAACCAATTTACATTCTCCCCAACAATGTAGTAGGTTTCACTTTTGGATGCATCCTCACTAGCATCTATTTTTATAGTAATTCAAAGCTCACTATCCTGGCTGAGAAAAGCTGAGAGAAAGGTGAGTTGTGGTAATGAGAGATAAGGCCAAGACTTAATGCTAGGACAGAAAAAAATACTATTAAAGGTGCTAAAAATAAAGACAGTATTAAATGAAGAAAGGATGGAAGGAAGAAAGGAAGGAAGGAAGAAAGGAACGAAGGAACGAATGAAGGAAGGAAGGAACGAAGGAAGGAAGGAAGGAAAACGGAAGGAACAATGATCAAATTAGAGCTTCTTATACAAACATAGTTATCAAAATATAAAATTGAAAAACTGTTAAATGAGATGAAACAGAGCTGAAAATGGAACCTAAGTAACACTAAGGAATCTAATCAGGAAGAATCTTACAGAAGAAAAGGTAAATGAAATACCAAAACTTAGTTAAATATGATTTTAAACTATAAAAGAAGCCAGACATATATAGAATAGAGGTCCAAGAAGCAGAGTATGTCATTGAAAAAAGTGATATTCGAGATGATGTTAATTAGAATTCTCTGGAACCTAACATGTTTATAACAGATTAAAAGTAGATGGTAAGAAGAATAAATGGAATTAAATACATATCCTACTATAATGTAGATACATTGAAGAACATCAAACTAAAAGATTTCAGCCAGTCATTGATGACTCACTTCTATAATCCTAGAAACTCAAGATAGTAAGATTTAGAGGGTTGCAGTACAAAATTAGCTGGAGCAGAAATGTTTGCTAGACTCCATGCCTAGAACAGCCAGAAAAAAGCTGGACAGGGAGAGGGAAAAAACAACCTGAGCCATAGTACCAAACTGAGCCATAGAACAGAAACAAAAACAAAATTTTAAAGTGAAAAATCCTTAACTAAGTAGACAGTAGAGAGAAAAAAATAAGAGATATTACAAATTTCACTTATCAAAAACTTTCAAATTTCTCTGGTTATTTCACTTAGTTCACCTGTAAATTTCTTTACAAGCATTTAGAAACATGACAATTGCAGAATTAAACTGCTTAGTTGTCCTGATCAATGAGTGTAAACACTCCTTAAAAGGCAGCCTTATCATGAGTTACTTGCTAAAAAAATAATTTTTAAGAAAGAGGCCAAATTTTGACATTTCCTTCTCAGTACCTTGATTTCTTTTCTCTGTTTCTTTCTTATTTTTGTCTTTGAAAAGTGAGAGAAAATAGACATTAAGACAATACCCCAGATTGTTTCTTCATTTTAATTTTATTGACAAGATCAGACGGGTTACAGTTGCATACATAAGGTAGGAGTACTTTTCTTGTAGAACTTGCTATACCCTTCCTCATTTTTCTCCCACTTTACCCCTCTCCAAACCCCTCCCCAGTGGTACATTTCATTTCCAACATATTGTCTTATGAGTATTGCTGTTGTCTTGGTTCACACTTTGTCCCTTGTCTCTCCACATTGCCATTCCCCTTCCCATCCCTAATTCAGATAAATGTATTATACCCAGGGCACCACAATAAAATACAATGATAACAAGGGATAAACCAAAGGGGGGAAAAGGAAAGGAAAAAAGAAATCACATAGTACAAGAACAACAAAGGAAAACCTTTTGTTTCCAAACTTTCGAATTTATTTCACTTAGCATCATCTTATATGGTCATATGTACTATTACACTATTTTGCTCATCTGCTAGGACTATGCTAGACATATTTTAATTATTACAAATGAGGGAAAACATGGGGTCTATGTTTCTTTGGTTCTCACTCACATCACTTAATATGCATTTTCCCAAGTCTTTACATTTCCTTATGAATAGAGCAATGTCATTCCTTCTGATGGAAGCTTTCAATTTCATTGTGCATTTCATTTATACCACATTTTCTTATTCCATTCATCTACTGAGGAAACCTGAGTTGGTTCTATATCTGCTATGATGAATCATGCTGCAATAAACATACTTGTGCTGGTAACTTTACTATAGCATTTTTTGTGATCATTTGGATAAACACCCAGATGTGAAATTGCTGAGTGGTAGGGGATATCTATGTGTAATCTTTTGAGGAAACTCCAGAGTGGTTGAACAAACCACAGTGTAATAGTGTTCCCTTTTGGCAACATCTCATCCTACATATGTTGTTATTAGATTTCTTGATAATGGCTATTCTAATTGATAAGGGAGCCAAAAAGATGTAGGATGGAAGAAAAACAGCCTCCTCAACTGTTCTGTTTTAGAGTTCAGGCTATAGAAACTATTTATTGAGTAATGAGGCTTGATGAGATTGCTTTAGTTAGGGGCAGAGTGGATGAGTGACAGTGATCAAGGTACACATTATACATATAAGGGTCTATATAATGAACTCCCTTGCACAATTAATTCATGTTAAAAAATTTTGCAAAACAAGATTTAGCTATTAAATGGAATGGGAGCTGACTATCTTGGTGTAAAACATGTAGAGCATGTTATTAAGGACAATGAGTTATGTTGTGAGTCATGAGCTCAGAAGACTTCCATGAGTAGAAGGTCTCTCAATGAATCCTCAACTCTCAAAATTTGGGGTTTTCATGTAGAACACCTTTGCTTGGATACTAGAATGCAGATAACAGAAATTTAACTATGTAAGTATAGTATCAAGACCACATGTAAACTAAAGCACTAAACACCGTGGCATATGTTGTTAGAATTATCTTACAAAATCCAAATTAAATGATGATAGTGTTAAAGTTTTCAAGCATGGAATAAGTCCCCCACGCAAGACCCTTTATTGAACGTGGTTTAGTTCTAGGCAAGAGTTGGAAATACCATGTCACATGCCCCTGTGGGAGGCAATCAGATCCTGCACCATCATAATACATAAGCTCTGTAGGCATGAAGAGGCACTAATGAAATACTAATAATGGAATTTCTTCATGCTGGGAATGAATATAGCTCATTGCCTCTTTCTTTCATTCTTATGTATTCATGTTTATTCATTAAGTCCACAAATATATATTTGCTAAAATTATGCAATATCTTAAGATCTCTGCTGGTTTACTGGAAAAATGAAAGTAAATAATATGCTGTCTTCCATGAAGCACTCACTAATATTATAATATCCCCTGTGCATACTAACAAATTCACCACAAATTTCTTTAGCATCAAATAAACATTGAATCTCAACGAGTGAACATGAGGGTGTGAAACAATACTATTACCTGAAAGCTAGCACTAACCTTTTTAACTTATTTTGCATAATGAAAATGAATTCATTCATGATGTCTTCTTTTTCTCACACTGAACACTAAATGCACAATGCTATGATTCCTTTGTAGACAGGATCAGTAATGAAGAAGATATACCCTATACTTGAGATTTATAAATATCTGTTCACATATATTTTCAAAGAACATATATTTTCAGTGAAATTATGGCTATCAATGGTAGGTATTTTAAATAAAAACATAAATCCTCAAAAAACAGTAATATATTCCTCTTATATGTGTGGTATTGATTATGGATATATTCATTCATGAGTAATTGAAATTTCTAAGATCGGAGACTGAAGGAAATTAGGATTTCTTTTTCTGACATGATATGAATTCCAGAGATAGGCAGTAATTATCATTTGGCATAGAGACAGAACACTCAGAGGATCTGAAGTTTTTATCTTTCCTTTACCATGTATTGTTTTTGCATTCTTTTTGAATCTGAAAAGGAAAATATCAGAACAAATATACTTCTTTTTTAGGTCACCAATGCAATGATGTAGCCTATATTGCCATTTTTATATTAAATAGAATGCAAAAAACCTGCTTTGGGAAATTCACATTCCTTAATATGACTTCTTACTGAGACTAACTTTTTTTTTTAATTTCAGGCTGACGTAGGCTCTCACCTCCTATTGTACCAAAGCATCTTTCATCTCATATACTCTGCTTATCACATCTCTGCCTTACGAAACCCAGCTGAATAAGAACCAGTTTAGGCCCTAAGTCACCAAACAATCCTGCTCTAGCATCCCCTTATGAGGAAATATTAAGAATTTCCACTAGATCTTTTCTCCCCATGACAGTGTAACCACATGTTCTGTAAGCCTTCCTGTTCATCCAGCACAGAAGAACACAAAGAAGTAAATCAGAAACATGTCCTCAATTTATCCAGAAATCAAATGTGCCCAGAAATCATGACAGTACAATTTACCTTTAGTTCTAACATCCAGTAGCGGGTCATTTTTCTGTCCCTGCAGGGAAAGCAAGGCAAATGAAGAGTCACTAAATATGCCCTGTAGATTTATGCATAGTTCCCCTCAAAAAAGCAGAGTCTCCTTTTAGCCCGAGAGAAGTACAAATAGATACTGAATGGGCATCTAAACTGCAGATATCTTTACCAATATAATCAAATAGTTCACCCAGAGTGAAATCAGATTCATTTTCCAGAATAAAATGCAAAAAATTAACACCATATTTGAGGACAATATTGAACGCTAAATTTAGATATAAATGTCACAGAAGCAAATATTTGAACCCTTCCTCCATTAAGTATAGTTTAACGAGAAAGCAAAACATCAAAGAAAATTAATAAGATGAATATGTGCTCCAGAAAAAAGCAATTGCGTCTTTATAAAAAATAAATGCACATGGGCTGGGAAGGTAGCTCAGTGGTAGAGGGCTTGCCTCGCATGCATGAGGGTTCGATTCCTCAGCACCACATAAGCAGAAAAAAACGGAAGTGGCGCTCTGGCTCAAGTGGTAGAGCACTAGCCTTGAGCTGAAGAGCTGAGGGACAGAGGCCAGGCCTAGAGTCAAGCCCCACAAGCGACAAATAAATAAATAAATAAATGCACAGAAAAACTATAGAAAATATTTTCATATCCATTGCTCTTTAGGCCATAGTGGTTTGACAATCAGTGTTTTTCCTTTGCAAGTATGTGTGTGTATATATATATATATATGTGTGTGTGCATAAGCTCTTACTAGGTTCAAGGGCTTACTATTCTTTGAATAGTATCCTGCCTGAAACACTAGGAATTTTAGCAGATTTGTGTGTGTGTGTGTGTGTGTGTGTGTGTGTGTGTGTGTTGTTAAATGGAGATAAGAGTCTCATGGACTTTCTGCCATGGCTGGCTTTGTGTCATGATCCTCAGATCTCTTCATCCTGTGTAATTATGATTATAGGCCTGAGCCATTGACGCCTCACGAGATTTTTTTTTTTTTTTTGGGTCCGGTTGTGGGGCCTGAACTCTGGGCCTGGGCACTGTCCCTCAGCTCTTCAGTTCAAGGCTAGCGCTCTACCACTTGAGCCACAGCGCCACTTCCGGCTTTTTTCTTTTTGCTTATGTGGTGCTGAGGAATGGAACCCAGGGCCTCAGGCATGCAAGGCAAGCGCTCTACCACTGAGCCACCTTCCCAGACCTCATGAGATTTTTTAAATAGAGTATAATGTTGCTTCCATTAAGGAGGTTTAATTATTTCTATCTTCTCTTCTGCACCAAAAATGCATGTCATATTGATTCTTCCTTTGTGAAGAACCTTTTTTCTATAAAGTGAAAGGTGCTCATGACTCACATCTCTTTATCCTATCTACTCAGCAGGCTGAGGTCTAAAGAGCACAGTTTGAAGCCCGATGGGAAAAGAAATTTTGTGGACTCTTATCTCCATTAGCCATCAAAAAGTTGAAAGGGGCACTGTAGGTCAAGTGGTAGAGTACTACCTTGAGCAAAAACTGCTCTAAAAAACTTCAAAACCCTGAGTTCAAGCCCCAGGATTAGCACCAAAAATGTCTATTTAAACTTTATTTTGGTACAACTGGTATGTGATAAATTGAGGTTACTGAGGCGTGAAAATTACTGTTTGAATCAGTTATTGGTATCATTAGTTTGAGCATCTCTGTAAAGTCTTAACAACAATATATACAGATTATCAAGTCATAAAAAACAACAACATATACAGGTTGACAAATCTAAAACAACAACAATATATATAGGTTGCTCAATTTCCCTTATTTCTTGAATATAACACTTCCTAAAAGTTTATTAATTTTTGACAGAAGTTAGATGCCATAGTTCAAATACTTTGGAGGACAATGTTCCCTTTTCTTTTCCTGTCATTTTCCTTCTACTCCTTTTCCTATTCTTTTCTTCCTCCTCTTCCTTCTCTTCCTTCTTTTCCTCCTCTTTTTCCACTTCTCTTTTTTTTCTGCCAGTACCCAGGATTGAACTTCAGCAATCTTGAATTTATTTGCCTTTCTTGGTCATTGTTGCCATTTTAATATTTGAGGTCTACCTCCAGCCAAACTTTGGGATGATTAATTGGAAATGGAGCCTCAAGGAATTTCTGTTGACTGGCTTCAAACTAAAATTGTCCAGGTTTCATCCTCCTGAATAGCTATAGTATTGCAGGTATCAGCAAGCTCCAAACTAAATTTCATCTTTTAGTATATCTAGGAAATTTGTCTTGCTACAACTACTTTAGGAATTTCTGTTTCTGTTTGATTTAGACAGAAGAAACAATGTTATTTTGAATACATCAGATACAATATTATTTTGGGTATATGAGTCAGTTAGTATTGAACCTGGCTTGTAATTTTCTAACAAACTCCAACAGCCAACATGCCATCTCATAGTCTTGTAAATCAACCTGATTTAGTCCCTTTATCAAAATATGACTATTAATTCTATTGGCTTCCTGCAGCCACTATTTCTAGATATATTTCACAAGTCCTACAAGTTTCATGGTCCATTTTAGGTAAGAAACAAGGATGAATATTCTGAGATTCATTAAGGCATCCTATTCTAACCTCAACATATAATAGAGTGAGAAGTTTAAAAAAATACTTATGGTTTTAAAATGCCTTGCTTATGGCTTTATTTCAGATATCACATCCCAGTTTTCCTCTTAAAACTATACTTTGAATAAGTCAGGATTTCTAATATATATACATATGTCTAATTCTTTACTACTCTTCTATTCATATTCATGCAAATCATACTGACAGATGATGGAGTCCCCATGATGGAGATGTTATTATTTAATCCTAATGAAATTTGAAGAACTTTGTAGTACAAACTACAAAGAAGGAGAATGCATAGTGTGTGTGACAGAGAGCGAAAGAGAGAGAAAAAGATTTTAAAAATCATAAAAATAGAATAATTAGGAAAGAATATGCAGTTTAGAGAAATTTGTTTTCCTGTAGCACCTTCAGACTTTAAGCAAAACAACCTGTGTGTAGCTGTAGGGAAAGGGTAATGTCAAGGAAAGCCATAGGAGTGCAAGTGTCAGTATAAAAGGAAACCAAGGTATTTTCTATTTGTTGTCCTATGAGAAACAGACAGTAAGCGTACATATGGTGCCGTGGAGAAAAGAAAATACCTCACTCGGTGGAGCTGTAGTATATAGAAAGAAAGCAAGATTCAATGAGCTCCAAAAACACAAATTTCTGTAACTTGGAAAATATAGTATAAGAGATGTGCAGTCCACACAGCAAGCAGGCACTTGTGAAAGGATTTCCTTCACTTCAAGATTTAATTATTGTTGTTGTATGACAGAATACCACCTTAGGAATTGTCCTATCGCTTTTCTTACTGTTTGAACAAGAAAGGATATCAAAATTTCCTAAACACTTATATCTCCAAATTCCAAGATTTTCTCTTCACTGACTCAATTGGCAGCTACTGTAGAGCCTCCATGGTCATAGGAAACTTAATTATGACTTTCAAACAATTTAAAAGACACAAAACTATTTGGGGTAGAGAAGTGAGATGAAACTATTTCCATTGAAAAATGAAGTCTGCTGGGCGCCAGTGCCCTACGCCTGTAATCCTAGCTATTCAGGAGGATGAGATTTGAAGATTGTGGTTTGATGAAAGCATGAGCAGGAAATTAACCACCAAAAAGCCAGAAATGGAGGCTACAAGGGATGGTGTGTTTGCCTTCTGCAAGAAAAGCTCAAGAAAAGCTCTTTGCGTTGAGTTTAAGACCCAGCACAAGTACAATGAAAAAAATGAGCTGGCCTCTAAAATCTAAAGCCCAACAGCTGAATGTGGATTTATTTGAAGGCTTGGATAGAGATTAATGGTAGGGACCAAAGAGATAAAGTGCATAGAGTATGTGTTCTGCTCCTAGGAGATATTGCTAGTTTTGCAAAAACCTTCTTAATGCTTAGAAGCTCAGACATTTTTTAGGACATGCTTCTATGGCATGAACCTTTCCTGTGCCTATGGGCACATTCAGAAAGCACCTTAAGTGAGGTAGGGGAAGAGATGCAAGAGACTACTGCCATTGCTGTGGTTTGGGTCAGCATTCAGATTTCAGTGGTGTGTGTCTATATAGTCTTGAAGTTGCTCTTGTCTTGGATGAAGCCAGAAAGCATCTTTCTGATGGAGGCATACAAATCAATTTTGTATATATACCACATTTTCTTGATCCATTAATCTACTGAGGAGTATCTGGGTTGCTTCCATATCTTAGCTATAGTAAATAATGCTGCAATAAACATAATTGTGCTGATAGCTTTAGCATGGTCTTGTTTGTTATCATTTGGGTAAATTCCCAGAAGTAGAATTGTTGGGTCATAGGTGAGTTCAATGTCGAGTTTTGAGAAACCACCATACTACTTTCCAAAGTGGTTGAACAAGTTTCACTCCCACCAACAATGTAGTAACCTTCCATTGTGTCCATATCCCCTCCAGCATCTGTTGTTATTAGAGTTCTTGATTATAGCAATTCTAACTGGGGTAAGTTGGTGTGAGCACATGGGCAGCAAAGATGAAGTTAAATGGGCAGATCCTGATTTGCTTTACTTTCAGTGAGTAACCAGCCCTTGGAAGCTTAGGTGCATGCTAGGGTGTGATCTTTACAGTGATTGGTTCCTTTTCTCCCCTGCCATGCCACCTGCTCTTTTATTCCTTAAAAAGGGCTTGCTCTGTGTTAATAAAGGAGTTTTCCTGTTTGACTTGGCTCCCCACTGAGTCTGATTGTCTCCCGGACTAAGGGAGGCTGAGGAACAGACCAGCTGCTGCAATTACCTTTCCTTGGACCCTGTCCATATTCATGGCACAGACAATACCAGACAAAGTGGTATCTCAATGTTGTTTCGATTTGCATTTCTTTTATGGCTAGGGAGGTTGAGCATTTCTTCATGTGTCTATTGACTATCCTTTCCTCTTCAGAGAAGTTTCTCTTTAAGTCTTTTCCACTTATTATATTGGGCAGTTGTTTCTTTGAGGAGTTGTA